TACACACACACACACAACACACACAGACACATAACACGCATACACAAACATACAACATACACACGCGCGCTCGTGCGCACGCAAGCACACACGCATGCGCACACACACACACACACACACACACACACACAAACACACACACACACACACACACGCGCACGCACACATAACACATTTAGCCCACGCCTACTACGAAGGGGAAAGAAAGACAGAAAAATCGTGGAAGGGACAGAGACGGAGTGACAGTGAAATTTTCCGAAGAGGGCCAGCGTTGGAACCTTTTCAGTATGACAGAATGAGAGAAGAGGAGAAGAAAAAAGGGAACAGCTTCGTGATTTGCAGTTTTTCTTTTCCAGTTGCGCAAAATGAACAGCATCCATTAGCCGGCGACATGATTCTCGATGTGGCTTCGGGATCTTTTGTTCCCATACATTATTAGGCCATTAAGCGCCGTGTGCAATATCTGACAGGATGGCTGTTTTATAGAGTGTTGCTCTGGAATCCTTGTTCTGGCGCGCCCAAGAGAGTTTGTTCACTTCAACTGAGTTCAATCCTAATATTTTTGTGTGTGTGTGTGGGGGGGGGTTGTCTGAAAGTCCTGATAATAAAAAAAGGCGCTCACTGATGCCACAATTATTTGTACAGCTCGGTCATTTGGCGAGGAAAAGAGAAAGTATGTGAATGTGTGTGTGTTTGTGTGTGTGTGTGTGTGTGTGTGTGTGTGTGTGTGTTTGTCTGTCTTTGTGTGTGTTTGGTTCCAATTTTATCTTGACTGTTGTTTATTCTTGTTGTTGTTAGTGGTGGTTATAGTGGAAGTGTTTTGAGACGGCTGTTGTTGTTTTGGGCCAGTATATAGGGTGTTTCTTTTTCAACTGGCGACACCGACTAGGCAATCAAGAGAAGATGTCTTGTTTGTTTTGATAAGTGTTTTACGGTGCTTGCAAGTGCATAAGGTCATATGAACGAGCGGGACACATTAAACAATTTTGAGTTCGTAGGAATTTAACTTTTTCCCCGGATGGTGGCTAAAGCCTACTCTTATCGATTTTAGACCACCAAGGAATCTTTAACGTGGGCAACTTGCACACGGGACCTCCGAGATTTTTCGCCCTTGTCCGAGACGGCTAGGTGTATATTATTCCTTCCAGAAGATCAGGGGTGTGCTGAAAGGCAGCGGTAAGGAGTCAAGGACGAGTAGCAGTAGAAAGGCTGCAGAAAGAGTCCAGAGGAGGGGGCAAAGGAGGTGATGGGTGGGAGTAGAATGTGGAGATGAAAGCTGACGACAGAACATTACAAGAGAGCAGGAAAGGTGGTGAAAGGAGACAATTTTAGAGAAGAAAATTTTTCGGTCGCTACCCGGATATGAACCTTTGAATGAGAGGCGAACACCTTAACCTCTAGGCCACTAGAGCCCCCTAAGGGACCTTTAAATGCGCAACTTGTTCACGGGACGTCCGAAATTTTTCGACCATATCCGAGAAGGCAAGGTGATACCTACATTAAGATCAGGGATATGGATGAACACAGTAAGTAGTAGCCAAGTAGTACGGCGAACACTGCACGTCTAGACCACGAGAGCCCCCGAGAAGATTTCTGCGAATTGTTGAAAAGATAAAGCGCGTGGTGTTTTCATTTATTTGTAGATAAGCTCCAAGTGATTCTGAATTGAGATGAACCTCTTCACGATCGAGTTTAGGAAGAAGGCGAAGAGGAGGAGAAGGAGGAGGAAGAAGAAGAACAGGAAGAAGAAGAGGAGGAAGAAAAAGAAGAGAAAGACAAAAAAAGAGCAAGCAGAAGGAAAAGAAAGGGATGGAAAACCAAGAAAAAAGAGGAGAAGATTTTTTTAAAGTATGTTCGTAAAAGAAATAGCATCGTAACAGAAATGGTATTTTTAAAGGTACATTGTCATCTTATTTGCTACGAGTGACATAACACAGTGTCTAGCCAGTGCGTCTATGGCGGATACTATTTCCCGTTATAAAAACCGAGGTAGAATCTAGGGCATCAGTTATAGAAACAGAGACCGACAAAATACGAGTTGCTGTTGGTTTTGTTTTTGCTATTCGTTTTCTTTTTGAAGAAAACTGCCTTGACCTAACATTTTATCGAATGTTCATTTGTTTTATTAGTCATGACGCATTTCCATTGTTGAGCTCCGACTTAGAGGATCTCGTGGCCTAGAGGTTAAGGTATTCGCCTTTCATTCAATAGGTCCCGGGTTCGAATCCGGATAGCGACGGAAATTTTTCTTTTCTAAAATTGTCTCCTTTTACCTCTTATCCTGCTCTCAAGCCAAGTTTTATCGTCTGCATTTGTCTCCACTTTCTGCCCCCACCCCCTCACCTTCATTGCCCCCTCCTCTTGGCTCCTGACTCTTTGTGCGGCCTTTCTACTGTTACTCCTTGGCTCCATCTTACTGCTGTCTTTCAGCCACACTTTTGATCTTATGGTAGGAAAGATCTACACCTAGCCTTCTCGGAAAAGTCTCGGAGTCCCTGTGTGCAAGTTGCGCATGTTAAAGATCCCTTGGTGGTCCAAAACTATAAGAGTAGGCTTCGGTGGCTACCCGGGCAAAATTCAAAATTTCCTACCTACTGAAAATGTTTAAGTTAATGTGTCCTGTGTGCTCATATGAACTTATGCAGTTGCAAGTGCCGTAGAACAGTTACCAAAAAACAAAATATTTAAATAGAAAGCTCCGACTTCCAGCGTGCTTTTCTCAGCTTTTACTTTCGTTTTCTTTTTTTATAGTGTTTTGAATACCGGACGATAACAATAGAAATTAGAAATTATTAAAATCAATGTACGAGTCATGCTGTATAGCATTGAAAGGGACCCTTAAAAGCAGGTTCAAAGCACAACAGTTATCTCTGAGCCTTTATAATCTGAATCTTTGCAACTTTCCAAGAGTCTGATGAAATAGGAAAGCTGTTTGTCGGGGAAAAAACTATCTAATGGGTTGCTCCTTTACGGATAAAAGAAAGTGTATCGTTTCCGTACCCTGAAGAGATAGGGATATTCAAAAACTTAAAATATGTGGGTGATTTTGATTAACTGGTACTGGTACCTGTTTGGCAACGGGGTTGTCTTCAAGGATCGTGTTCATTTTGTTTGGCTTGAAGAAAACTAAAAATAAACTAGAAATATTGAGCCGCAAGTCGAGACTCAGTTGCTGTCCTGTCTGAGCTCTTAATTAAGCAAAGGACTCTTCCAAAAAAGAAAAACAGAAAAGGTTCCACAATGAGAAAGCGGAATAAGCCACAGCAGTTCTGGACATTTGTTTTGAAAGGGGAGTTAAATACAAAACCAGTAAATCCATTTTTATAATTTAAAAAAAATCATCATCATCATCATCATCATCATCGTCATCATCATCATCATCAATTGATAATCATAATCATTGTCACCATCATCTAAATATCAATTTGGATTTAGTTTTCGTGATAGTATTGATGTAAGAATAAGAAATAACACGAAAAAGAAATGTAATTTCTGTTATTGTTGGTGTTGTTATTGTTGCTATTATTATTATCATTATCATGATTATAAATAAACCTTTTTCATCATTGTTATTATTACTATGAAATTATCATTATCTTTTGGGGGTTATTATTATTATTATTATTATTATTATTATTATTATTATTATCATTATCATCATCATCGTCATCATCGTCATCATTATCATCATCATCGTCATCATCATCGTCGTCATCATCATCATAATCATCACCATCATCGTCATTGTCATCACAGTCATCATTATTATTATCATTATTATTGTTGTTCTTCTTATTATTACAGGTGTTATAGAACAACAAACAAACAAAAAATAATATGCGTTAAAATAATAACAGATATTATAATGACGATATTGATAGCGGCAGCTGCAGTGTATCCACATCTTGACCTTGACCATCCAATGATTTATTTATAGCTGCATCATAACGTATTTTCAGTAACATGACACTGTCAACAACCTCTAGGAGTTATGTCGCTCCACGTCTGTGAATGGGTATGGCACTTTGCGTTTATGTCTGTGTGTCTCTCTGTCTGTGTGTCTGTCAGTCTTTCTGTCTCTCTGTCTGTCTGTCTTCTGTCTGTCAGTCTGTCTGTCTTCTGTCTGTCAGTCTGTCTGTCTGTCTGTCAGTCTTTCTGTCTCTCTGTCTGTCTGTCTTCTGTCTGTCAGTCTGTCTGTCTGTCTGTCTTTTGTCTGTCTGTCTGTCTGTCTGTCTGTCTGTCTGTCTGTCAGTCTTTCTGTCTGTCAGTCTTTCTGTCTGTCTGTCTGTCTGTCTGTCTGTCTGTCTGTCTGTCTGTCTGTCTGTCTGTCTGCCTGCCTGTCTGTCTGTCTCTTTGTGTATATGTGTGTGTGTGTTTGTGTGTGTGTGTGTGTGTGTGTGTGTATGTGTGTGTGTGTGCCTGCGTGTACGTTTACATGTACGTTTTTGTATCTATTTCTGTATTTGACTGCGTCGGCAACAAATGATATATGAACGGTGTCTATGGTGTACCGGTTATGCGCTTACCTGTTTTTTTGTTTGCAGGAGACCCGAGTTCGATTCCCGAGAGGGGAGACGTTTATTTTTATGGAGTATCTGGATCTTTCTGCTGGGATGTTGTTTGTATCCCTCTTGGGCCAGGTTGACCTTGACAGGCGGGGTCGGAAGCCAGCCTCCTAAATGATCTAGATTGTGTCGATGGCAAATAATACACATTGTTTTTTCTTGGCAGAGTCGCAAGGCGGAGGTAGATCTGCAAGAGAAGCATGGGCATGCTTCAGAGGACCAGCTGTTGGAAAGGAAAGCTACAGCCTGGCTTTGGTAATGTGTTGTTTTTATCCTCAGTAAATTTATTGTTTTTATCCTGCTACTCTGTGATAAACTTTTTTTATTCTTCATAAGTCAGTATTTTTAATCCTGTGATACAGCTTCATTTCACCCTTTATAAATTTTAGTTTTTATCTTTCACAATTCATTATTTTTATCTTGTGGTACAGCTTTTTGTATTTCCTGGTAATGTAGATAGATAGATACATACATAGATAGATAGATAGATAGATAGATAGATAGATAGATCGATCGATCGATCGATAGATAGATAGATAGATAGATAGATAGATAGATAGATAGATAGATAGATAGATAGACCTGCATTTATAGATAGGTAGACAGTAATGCGTTTATACGTGCACTCTCTTTTTCTTTTTACTTAGCTAGTACTTATGTAACTGACAGCTGCATCAATTAAAAATGAAAATTAGCTTGGACCCGAAAACAAATTCAAACCTTACAAGATGGTACCTTTCTATGTGTAACTCAAAACAAAACATAATTCTCGACTGCGTTGATTGCGGTAAATTCTTAATCAGCATTTCGTGCAAGATGCCATTTTTAGGAAACGAAGTATGTATTTTGAATATTACGAGATGGAATGAAGATTCCTTTGAAAGGTCTTCTAATTAAAGAACGAGAGAGAACCTCTACTTTGTTTTATTTCTGGCTGTGGGTACTTTGTTCAGAGAGTGGTGCTATACATGTTTCTGAACAAGCTTAAGGGCTTGAAACTGCTTTTTTCATCTCTTTGTTGGCGTATACGAAGTGTCTTTTTCGGAAACGGCGGAAAAGGAACGGGCGGGAGGGAGGGCGGATGGGGTCTCTTGGCTGTTGTTTTTTGTAATGTGGTACGACTATTTTGCTCCACTATTCCTTGTTATATGACAATATTTTGCCAATTGGGATTTATTTTTCTCGAAATTTTACACTCTAAAAGAATGGCACTGTCTTGGTATTCTGCTGTTTTGCTCGTTTTGTTTTTGTTTTTGTTTTATTTGGGGTTTTTTTTTTGCATTTTGCCTTATTGGTTGTTGGCTTTTTTCATTATCTAGTATGTGTCTGGTCTTTATGTGTGTGTGTGTGTGTGTGTGTGTGTGTGTGTGTGTGTGTGTGTGTGTGTTTGTTTGTTTGTGTTTGTATGTGTGTATGTGTGCACTTAATTCTCGCTCAGGTAAAAAGTCTGTAATAACCTTTGTCGCTCATTTCAGGGTTCGAGATTCCATCGTCGACGCCATCAAAATTGCCTCAAGGTAAGCTTTCAATCCAGTGTCTGGGTGTGACCATTGCTTGTGGCCTTTCCCCTTTGTTAGCCCTTTCTCTGTCTCACCCGCAAAATTAACCCTTTTCCTTTTTGTCTGTCTGTATTTTAGCCCATACTGGCAGATAGTTTGAGGGTTTACCGGTATGTCTTATTTTTTCGTCTTTCCCTCAATTGTTCCTGAGTGTTTGTTTTGCTTTTTCCTTGCACTGTATGAGCGTTATTGTTTCGATACAGTTCTCGTTATTGTAGGAAACAAACGAAAGTCTGTTCGCTGCCTTGCCCTCGGGGTAAACTTTTTCTCCTTTTCCTTTAAGTACGCTCTTTGCTTTCTTACCCCCAACTAACCCCTTTACGACCCTTCCTTCACAAGACTATTCTGGAATGTTCAATAGACAGTTTAATGACCGAGGTCCAATCGGTTCAGTTCCTTTGAAGTAGAGTTGATGTTTGTTTCACTTGTACTTTTTTTTTTAAATAGTTGGCTTTGGGGATTTACAGCTAAACGGTATATTTTACGTAAGGATACGTTTGTTCTTTGTCCCATTTGATTCCTTTGCTCTTTTTTTGTTTTTTGAATTTGCCTCAAAACTTCTTATAGAGATGCTTCAGTTTGCACTCCTTTGAGTACGATAACTCCCCAAGGTTAATCATCAATGAAAGGGAAATGCACATATTTTACCCAAATACTTCAATGTAAGTTTCATTGAGCAGAACGAGCTGGGATGTCGTATAAAATCTCTCCGTTTCCTTTCTAACGAAATCTCCTTTTTTAAAATTTATCTCTGGAATAAGGCCGTCGATAGGAGGCAGGGCTTCACCCCCCTCCCCCCTCGACGCACACAACACACACACACA